CTCTTAAAGAGCACCAGAAAGCATAAAAGGGGGCAGCAAAACCAAGAACCCCAGCAGAGAGGCTGCCCGGCGAGCTGCTCCCAGCCACGGCTCAGATACAGAAGCTGCTGAACAGAGCAGGGGAAAACCTGTGTGACAGAGAATGGCATGTTCTTCTTCTCCTGCAGTCAAGCTGGACTGGGTCAGGCTTTAGCTGAACCCTGGCAAAGTGGGGAGGTCCAGAGAGATAGAGCCTGACGTTGTTCATCACTCTGCAGAATTAGAACAGTGCTACTGGTTTTGCCAATATTTCTGTAAAACCACATTCTAGCCTCCACATAACCAGATTTCTACATTATTCTGGGAGAGAATGGCTCTCTTCTCTTTTCCTCTTTCCCTCTAAGCAAATAAGCCATGATCTCTGACTGTGCCAAACTAAACAAAGTTATGCATTGCTGGTCCAGAAGAAAAATGTCCTAAAATGATTATATCTAACAAAATTAAATTCTTATTAGAAAAACAACGGCCTGCTGGTGTTGAGATAATTACACTGAGAAAAAATGCTGAAGAGAACAGTTAATTGGAATTGGATAAATTTAGCTAGTAATACAAACAAACGTATGTTGCCAAACGGAGATGGAAGGCTCCTCCACAATCCCTGCATGGGTTGGTGTGTGTGCAGGGCTACTGTAGGCAACGGTGGCAAAATAAATGTCCATATTTCTAGTGGCTTGGTAGAGATTAATAAAGAACAGTGCTTCTCACAGACTGTGCTGTGACCATCTGCCCCATTATTTTTTGTAATGCTTTCCAACCTGAATTCTGCAGACCTGTGTCAGCTTTCTCTCGGGGCCATCGTGCAGCCATGTGCCACATCCCAGCCCTCCTGCACAGCCACCACACCTGCCCTGCTCACGTGGCTGGGACCACACAACCAACTGCAGGAGACCAAGCACTCTTCCATCTGAAAAGAACAGGGGGAACTCACGGCCTGCTTCAACACTGCTGCTGGCATTGTGTCACACAGCCAGCCTGTTGAATGCCCAACCATTATTTACTGATAGCTATTCAGAATGCAGCGAGGCTGCCCGCTGACACCCTGCCCTGCACCTGCCAGCTGATGTTCCTCAGCACACAGCTGGCTGCAGCTGCCTCCTCCCTGTCCTTCAGAGGACCAAAGCCCTGCAGCCTGGCCAGCTGCAGCCCCTGCCCCTGTTCTAGGGAAGTTTAAGGCTCTAAAACGTCACTTTCCTCAAGGGATTGTGCTAATTTGATGTCTGAACAGTACATTAATGTTAATTAATGTTTGTAAATGGCCAACAAGCATCTGTCACTCTGGTGCTCCAACACTCTTTGGATACATCTGCTTTGCTTTAGCCTTTATTTAGCAGTGATTATGTGGTATGTTTGGATTCAGTAAGATTAGCCCCATGTACACAAACACACAGCTAGGTCTGTTCTGCTCTGTACCAGCAAATCTACCAATGTTTCTAACACACCAGGCGAGCAGCAGCCAGCAGAGAGACAGCCCTGGAGGAAAGCTTCCATGGCTGGGCCATAGCAGGGGAGCTGGAGCAAGCAGCAACAGCCTACAGGATGCTTTGGGTGTGTGGGTAAGCAGAGGAGCCACGTGTGCACATAAGGCCAAGAATACAGACATCTAGGACTGTTTCTCTCTGTTGTTTTACTGAGTGCTTTTTGGTTTTCTTTTTCCATGAGGCTTTGAGAAGTAATTATACTGCAAATTGTATTGCAAATACGGGAGAAGAAAATTGCCTTTCCTGGCAGGTGAACTCTATTTGGAGAGATTCTATCAAAGCTTCTTTGACTATATATATGCAGTACAATTTTTTTTTTTTTTATTGCAGAGACAACAAAGAATGGATAGGTATGCATAAAACATGCAACAGATAAAGAACTTGGGATTAATTCTATCATTTATATTAGAATATGGAAAAAAATAATAAAGAAGTATTACCCAGTGACATCAGAATTTGGATTCAGTGAGCCCTGATGTACCTCTGATACCTTGGAAACTCACATTTTCAGATGAGCCAGAGTGTCCCTAAGTCTCTGCAGTGCTTTTCTCCATGTATCTCAGTGGTAACACTGGCTCCTCCTGCTCATGCGGTGGTTTTTCCAGATTTCTGACAAAGTCTGAGTGAACTGAGAGGCAACAGTGCTCACTGTGAGCACATGTGAAGTAAAACTCTGCAGAAGAAATGCTGATCCAAAGGCAGCTGCCAGGAGTGGTGGTGATGGAGAATGGCTGAGGTTGGGCTGAGCCCCCATTGCACTGCACCCATCTATCTGCTCTGGTCTTCCCATGGCCAGCTTCTGCCCATTCCCAGCTCCCAGTGCTCCTCCTGAATGTCAGTTCTCACCGGAGAAAAACACCTCCAGAACCACACCAAAATGTCCCAGAAATGCAAGTTTCTATCAACAGCTGATAAAGGCTGAGGATGTGCAGATGAGAGGGAAAGATACGTTGCTTGAGAGCAAAGCAGCACCTGTATGGTAAACACATGTGAAAGAGGAAGAGTGCTTGTGTGCCCTGAAGAAATTCCCTGACATCTGGCAATTTCAGGTCTGTCAGCTGTCAGGTATTACTGCTGTGCTGCTGAGTTGCAGTCAGCGCAGCTCTGCTTCCGCAGCCTGGGCTTGCAGCAGTCTTCAGCACTCCCATGGCCCAGCCCTGAATGCACCCCGTGTTCTTAGTCTAAGGTGGCCAGTAGTGGGAGTAACAAATATTAGGGAGTTTCTCCCACACCCTTTGTGACGGCAGCTCTGGATCTGGCAGAGAGCTCACAGCTCTAGGGGCCAGAGAATAAAAGAGCACCGAACGAAAAAATGTGGTTCTGTCCAGGTGTTCACACTCTGCTCTGCATGTTTTATTTGATATAGAATAATCTAACCTGTCTCATTTCATTTTTTTTTAAAATATATTTCCAACTCCAGTTCCTTCTACTGAGTTGGACATTTGCAAAACCTGCCTCTGACCCGTTTACAAAATAGAGCCTTCCTGTGTATGACTGCAATGCCTCTTCTGCATCCCCACATGGCTAACACACTGCAGCAGCAGCAAATCCAGGCAGCACCCAGCATGGCTGTCCCAGCAGCACTGGGCACAGGGGACAGCAGCAGCTCACGGTGTGTCAGGAGCTGCAAAAGGGAAGATGGGCAGGAGGGGATATTGTGATATTTTGGCAACAGTATTTTCCCTCCACAACCTCCTGCCATCACTTAAGAGCCTGGGGAACCAAACCCCAACGTTTTACATAACAAGTCCACATCCAGAGCGCAGCGCCTAACAGCTGCTTCACCACTAATTGGCTCAGAGCGGCAATTTGTCAATGTTTTTAAGATAATGAGCTTCTCATTTGCGTTCCAGCCATCTATGTTCCCAGATAAGGAAACACGCTGTCACTGCTGCACATCAGCTGCTATTGGGATGTGCTACATGGTGGTGCTACCCCTGTGTCCACACCAATCAGTGCAGAAGTTAATCAAGTATCTTTTGGAACCTGGCTAGGTACAGATCCTTTGGATGAAAGTTGTTATTTAAATATCGGTTGTCACAATGATGAGAATGATTATGGTTATTTTATTCCTAATAGTAATACTAAGTAATAGTATTTTTAAAGGTGTTGAAATCTCTACACAGAACGCAACTGAAGGCTTTAAATATTGCTCGTTAGTACAGCTAGATAAATGTTTTATTCTAAGTATTTATCCTGTGAAATATGTTTGCAAGTCTGGAAGGTTTTTTTTTCAAGTTGAGAAGGTCTGTTGTTTCCGTTTGAAAAATTACAGCCATCAATAAAACAAAATTGTTTCATGTCATTTCTTTAGGATTTTGGCATCACTTTAATTTTGCAAGGAAAGTTTAAATAAAAAGAAAGTTTTTCAAACTTTTCTCTTACAAGGCCTACGCACCTTTCTTGCAACCTCTGCTTACCTCCTTGTTAGTCTTCCCTAGCAGAGACCTGCATACGGATGCCTTAGCACAAAGCCTATAAAATCTGAAGGCAGGAGGGAGGTTGCTTTTTAAGTCTTCCTCCATATAAACTAGCAATATATGTCAAAACGTGTCATTCACTAATATTGGTGTTCATCTGGCTAACAGCAGGAAGAGCAGCTCCAATAGCACTTCAGAGACGTGTCAGGTTTGCTTTGACAAGGGATGGAAAGGCAGGTTACTAAATGCCTCAGTCCCTGGGCTCAAGGAGCTCAGCGTGACCCCTGCCCTGCCCTCCTGCAGCCCCAGTAGTGAGTAGCACCCAGCACTGTTGTTGTAGCAGAAATGCTAAGTCACAGCCTGAAGCAGTGATTGAGCACCTGGTAGGAAGGCAGGGCCAGCCCAGGGGAGCTCAGGTGCATGCAATGCAGGTGAATGACGGAAGGGATGGAGCCAGGATCCACCAGACCTCATTTAAGGGTTGGCAGTGGAGGTAAGGGTATCTTGCTGGAAATCCCTGTGTATCTGAGGTCCTCTGAAGGTAAGCAGTTGTTTGTTTGCTTGCTATTTTTGTTTTTCTCCTCTTTGTTTTTGTATTCGCAGCTGCTGCACTTGAGCTCATCCTCTCTTGCAGCCTGGGGCTCTGCTATCCTACTATCATTGCTGTGTTTTCCATCATGTTATAACATCACAGCCACACAGCAATTTCCTTGCTAAAATAGCGACCTGCACAAAATGCACCTCCTTCTGCAGATCTTTTCTGTGGATGCCTTTTTAAGGTTAATTAAAATCTTTACTTAAAAGGAAAAAACATGCTATGTCTGATCAATAATGAAAACTGTGCCAAGAACCAGGTGAAAACCCACCTTGCACTACCAATATAAATCTCATTTCCTTTAAAGTCTCCTTGCACTGATTTGGATTCAGACTACTCTTTCCAAACAGAGCTACTAAGAGAGGCTCACTGCTGCCTGGTACTCAACAGGTTCAAGCTGTTGTGGATAAGCAACAACACTGAAGAAAGCCAAAGCAAAAGTGATTTGTTCTGCTGCTCTGCTCATACCTGTCTAGTGATATGCAGCACAGGTGCAGGATCGATGCTGTGGTGAGCAAGACATCAAGGGATGTTCGGACAAGGCAGAACATTTCCCCGTAGATCCAGTTGTCCTGGACCAACTCAATGGCTCCAAATGGCATCACCAGTACTGACACCAGCAGGTCCGCAAAGGCGAGAGAAACGATGAAATAATTGGTCTTGATTTTCCTGCAAGACAGATAACAAAATGAATAACTTCAACACAACATCCTCCAATGTGAACGGAGATCTTGGCTTGAGATTGGGTCTGATTAGCTCCATCATGTAAGTAGCTCCTTTTCAATGAATGTCCCACTTCATATTGTCTCCCCCAGCTCGTTCCTGGTTTTTACAGCTTAACAGCCCCTGCCTCTCCTGCATGAACACATCTTCCTGCTCACATGCAGGAGGTAAATAAATGCCCACAGGCCTCTGCATCTGGCTCAGCTTTGTGGAATGTGTTGCAGAGTCTGGGGATGAGGAGGGAGATTTTATTTTAACTTGTATATCGTGAAAATCCTTCCAGAAAGCACTCTGCAGAACCTAGACTGAAGCTATCATTTTAACTTGAAGAGTACTTTTAGAATCATAACAATAAAATAGCATTAAATCCATTAAGAATCCCACGCAGAACATGAATAGAGGCTGCTGAATATCTCACTGCAGTCCTGGGGCTGCTCTGACAAAGCCCAGGGGCAGCAGCCAGCCTTGGGACAGGAGTTTTGCAGGTGAGCCCCAGGCTGCTGGGAACATTTGCTGGTTGCAGCAGGGCTTGAGCTGCACATTCTTTGGAGGGGGTTGCTAGGCAGGTAATGGGAGATGGAATCGAGCACTGTATTCAGCTCTGTTTGTAACTGATGTATCTAGTTCTGACACTGAGTGCAACACAAGTAGGGGATGGGAACAGCAGTCCCACCACCACAATGCAGATCTGAGCTCAAAGAGGCAGTGTGACATTGGCATAGCTGGTGGTGGCACTTCATCATCTGTGATCTGGACTCACAGCTGCATGCATGAGTCTCCCATCTGAGATGTGGCAGCACTGGGGGCTGCATGGGCTCACCTGAGCTGCCTGTCCCGGCACACAGCCACCATCACCAACAGGTTCCCCAGGATGGCCATCAGGATAACTGCAGAGATGAAGGTGAGCAGCACGATCTTCTCTGCTACGCCGAAGCCCTCACTTGAACTTTGGGGGGAGGGGGAGAGAGGAGCGAAAACAAGAAAAGAAAAGAAGACATCAGAGCCTGGGGACTGCAGAGCAGAGGGCTGCAGGTGACCACCTGCAGAACAAGAGGCAGCCTGGCATTTTTTTTCTTCTCTTTTTTATTTAGGAACTGTTCCAGCATTAGGAGAAGAAAAAAAAAAAAAACACATTACTTAAAAAGAAGTGCACAGTCTTCCTACCCTGAAAGCAATAATTTCTTTCTTTTAATGAAAATAAAGAAAATGTTGGGCCGGGGTAAGTTTAGGTTGGATATTAGGAAACACTTCTTTACAGAAAGGGCTGTTAAGCACTGGAATAGGCTGCCCGAGGAGGTAGTTGAGTCACCATCCCTGGATGTGTTTAAAAACCATTTTTTTCTGTGGTGCTTAGGGACATGATTTAACAGAGGGTTGTTAGTTAGGGTAGTATGGTTACAGCATCATTGTACTCAATGATCTTTAAGGTCTTTTCCAACCTGAGTGATTCCATGATTCTAAAGAATAATGTTCCAACACAACACTGGGAATACTTGAAGTCTGCACTTCTACAACTATCTTGTTAAATATTTTACTACTTTTCTCTGTTCAGGAGCCTGCAAAACAGGAGGGTAACAAACAGTGTGCAATGAATAGCATTCAGTTCCTCATAAAACCAATTATTACAAAGTTGTTGAGCCATTTTTTCCTTTTAGGCTATTCCAACTAATGTATCCAGAACCAAAGGCACCTGAACCCTGCACTTGTGTCCTTCCGCAGTACATTGCAGCAGTGAGAAGGGGTACCTGCTCACAGTGTCACATGGGGCTGGAGGTAAGCTGGCATTAAGAGCAGGACTCGACACTGACTCAGCAGGAAGATTTCTTCATTGAGTATGGAGCTGGCATTTGGTACCTGGGATTAATGCAGTGAGATTGCTCAGGTAATTGAAAAACTGAATGGTTATTCTGTTTTAGTTTGATTTCCTCTGGGGTCATGTTTTATTTACTAAATATGACCCAGGCTTTTACACTTGATCTCACTGAGTTCTCTTGGCTTTTTTCTTTTGGGGGGGAGGGGGAGGGCTAAAGCTAAAAAGGATTCGAAGCTCTGCTACAATCTCATCTCCAGTGCCTCTAGCATCTTAATAGGCTTCTTATGGCCAACTTCAGGCTGCCTGCAGAGTGAAGCATCCCATTAATCACAACCTCTGTCCCCAGCACTACTCTGAGTCTGACTCTTTTGCTTGCTGGTTGCACTGTCAGGTCAGATCACAGCCTCATGAGGCTGCAGACTCTCAGTCTGTATGAACGCTGTCCTAGGAATGCCTGGAGTTCTCAGTTTTACAAGGAAATACGTCACTGAGTGTAGATTCATCCAGATGGGTGAGGGTGTGCATGAGCAAATAAGGAAGAAGAAAGGAGGCATACAGTGTTGGGCTGATCCATGCAGCACCGATCTGGCTATAATAAGAGAGATCCAAGGCAGTTGCACATCCTAGCTTCGTAAATGTATGTCCTTATGTCAAGCAGAGCTTTCTCACCCATGAGAGCACACACAACTTTTATTTGCAATAATCTCATGAATTAAAACAAGGAGTTTAACAAATGCCATTGGCAGATGGGTGTATCCCACCTCCTTGCAGAGTGTTTTGGGGCAAAATATTCCTGAGCACTGCCAGCCCCATGTGCATCTGAACATGAACTTTTGGGATACCTGTGGGTACCCAGAGAGGTATGGGTTCTCATGCAGAGGGTTCCTAGTAAGGCAGCAGGATTTGTCCTGTCTTAGGTGAATGGCCAAGGCAAGGACTGCTCCTTCTGCCCTAATGGTTTTCAGAGCTAATGTCAGACAACTCAGGAAGGTTGCAGGGTTATGCTGACAGTCAGGTGTAGTCATAGATTCACGTTCAGTAAGGCACTTTTGTGCAAGTTAATTATAGATGCTAAGATAGGAGGAAGGCAAAGTCAAGAGTGTGTTTTATTCAGCATCTGAAAGAGTTTGCTCTTAATTAGAAAGAGTTGTCTACTGGACTTAACACAACTTCAAAGAGGGCAATTAAGGCTCTAAGAAGCTTTCTGAGCAGCTGGTAGCTCTGGGTAAATGCTGCTGCACTCAGAAATGTTGACAAGACTATGTCAGAACTAAGTGTGGGTTTCCCAGCTTTTTTTGTGTTCTGGCTGCCCTAGGTCATTAGTTCTTGGACAACTCCTGAAATGAGTGGGTTTTGCTGCTGCAGCTCTTGTAATTGCTGCCTGCAATTTGCTTACATTGATCCAGCCACACCTCCTCCCATCTGATGGAAGAAAAACCCATCTGCCCAAAGGCTCTGCCTCATCCATCATCCTGTCTCTGACAGTGGCCTGTAGGAAATGAAATGTCTACATGCATATAGCAGCATTTCCCTCTCTCACACTGTAAATGTCTGTGTCATAGTGGTTTTGTGTCAAATGGCTCTTGGTGAATTCCTCTGGTCTGACTTGAATTCTTGGCAGATGGGGAATACAGTCTCTGGACAGCTTTCCTTTATCTAGCAGCAGTGTGCTAAATGAAAAATCAGGCACATGGAATCAGTTTCTGTGCTTTTCAATCATCCCAAGTTGCGTACATAGGCTTCCTCAAAAATAAAGGTAATAGGCATCCAGTTCCTTATCCCAAGCTGCTCTACAGCACTAGACACTAGTACCATGAGTGCTTCTATAAAAGGATGTCATTCCTTCTCCCAGCTAGAAGTCACTTTCCCATTCCTCTCCTTCCAAAGTGAAGTCAAGTGTTGGAGATTTTGGAAGGCTGTGAGCTGCTGGCAGCCAGATCTACACTGCAGTGAAGTGCTTTGGAGAATGAGCATCTTGTAGCTGGTGCTGTAGCTCACGTGCATGATGCCTATTGGGATGTACAAGGTGATTCCTTGCTGGAGCACGTGTTAATTGTGTAGACAGGGGTTGTGCAGCTGCGGAAGGACAGACATTTGCCAGCATCAGTATAGTGAGCAAAGCTGATGTCCAGAACCTTCATTAATATGTTCATCAGCAGGAACAGACACCGCAAAAATTAGAGGGAAAAGAAACAACTTCAAAGGCAGGTCTCAGCCACAGGCCAGATAGCTGGGTATGGGGCAGATGAAAAGCTCAGGCACAATAGAGATGCTGGGATCAAAGGCACTTCCAGGAGCTGTAATTGTGCCTGCCTAAATTGAGCTCTCACAATAGGCAAGCTCCACAGCTACATCTGTGAAATAAAATGTCACACTGCACGGAATGGCTCCTCACAAAAGATGTTCCTTCACCCAGAGTGTGGCAGCGCACATACGCTGGCACGGCAGCAGAGAGAATGATGATGTCTGTAGAGAGCCAGACAGAGGGCTTGATTTATATTCTGTCTTATCTAGCTTTGCTCACCCTTCTGCTTTTCCTACACAATTCTCATCTCTGCGTTGTTTGAGCACCTTGTCTCTCCCTGCACCCTGCAGTGTGTAGAGATGGGGGAGTCACAGCGAGCCCTGCTTGTGGGTTCAGCTGGATGAGCTCTGCACCCACTCCAAACCTTTCCCTTCGCACTTTTCCCTGGTATCCAATCTACCTCTTGAATTAGGTCAGAAACAGGCCCTGGCACACATGTCCATGGAGCATTTGCTGTGACAACAGTTTCAGAGCACTTGGGAGGTCTCTACAAAAAGCATTTCTCCCATGGCCCGTGGTATTGCTCCCCTGGGGAGTGTTAAATAGCGTACACAGTGCTTGGGGTGAAGGAAGGGCAATTCTCTGGAAGATGCTTTTGCTCATCTGCTTTTTGATCCATCATCAAGTAGGAAGATTTGTTAATTATTCAGTCTCGGTAATTTGAATCTGTTAATAATGGAAGAAGTGGATATTGCTGTAAATTAAAATCAATGGTTTGCTTAGCTTCTTTGATCAAATCTGAGCGCAAGCACGCTTCTGTTTAATAAAGCAGAGATTGATGGGTTTGCTATTACAGGGAAATGAGATTCAGACAAAATGATTGTTGGTTAGTAGGCATATAGAAATCACTTAAGAAAAGGAATATAAAGTCACTTAGCAATACTAACATGGAATGAATGCTTAAAACCCATGTGGATATATTTAAAAACCTCTTCTGAGTAGTTGTTAATATTTTTAAAAATGGTGTAATTATTTTTTTTCAAGCTCAAATTCTACTTTCCTGCCAACACCCCACCTTTTTTAACTGACCTCAAGTGCTTCTGCGTGTTTTATGCAGTGATTAAACAACAGATCAGCCCTGTTGGCATGGCTGTGTATATCCCCCCTCTGGTTTCTGTTACAGGTCACAGCTCAACTTCCCCACAGTTGCAGAGGGATAAAATAACCAATGAACAGCAGAGAGCACCTTGGGCACTGCATGAGGGAGACAGAAAAAAGAGCTGGTGGGGACAAGCAGGACTGCTCTTCTGGGGCAGAGGAAATGATGCACAAAGGCTGAGTGTCCAGAGAGCCATTTTCTGACCACAAGAGAATGACTCTGCCCACGGAGGTGACATGGAGCATCTCCTGAAGCCAGCCAGGCACCTCCTGAGCACCTCACAGCAAAAATGCTTGTGTAATTGATCCAGAGCCCACAGCTGTGAGCATTACCAGGTTCCCCTGGACCAGAGCTTGCTCCTTGATTTAGTAGTGGCCTCAAGGGAAGTGGGGAATACTGGAGGAGTCCTCCGCTAGCTGCAGCCAAGCGATGGCTTCTCCCTCTGTAACTCCAGGTGACAGGAGATTTCATGCAGGCCTTTCACTGCAAGTCAGCTGTTATTTGCCTCTCCTCCTCTCTACTCCCCTGATTATTCCTAGGCATAAAAGCAGAGGCTGATTGTTAAACACTTAAAAATCAAGATATGTTATTATATGAGTAAACCTAACAATACGTGTCTCAGCACGGAAACATGACAATAGGGAAGACATTATTTGATCTATGGCTTTCCAGCTGTTACCATATTCTTTTCTACTGCCACCTAAAAATATTAATCATAAATCAGCGTTA